TTTCGTTTTCTGCACTTAAACTATTATATATTTCCTTTTTTGAATTTTTCGGAATCGTTACAAAACTCATCATCAATGAATGTATAAACTAAATATAATTGTCAATTTTAGTTATTTCATCAATTTTGTTTTGCTATTTCTAAATAAAATAATAAAAAATTAAATTAATTTACAGATAATATCTTTTTTTCGAACGATTATAAAACTTTAACCATTTCTCAAAATCTGTCAATTAGTTAACAACCATACAATCGATATGATATATTAAGTTGTTGCTTCAAACTTCTAGAAGTTACTACGATGAATGATGTACAAAAACCTACAACTTCACCTCAAAATTTTTCTCCATTCATCCGCTCATAAAGAATTGTCAAACTATTTGACTTTTTCACACGTTCCAATATAAATAATTAGTCAATTAAAATACATAAAAAAAAACCTTTAAAAATTGTAAATAATATTTTGAAAATTGTTATAAAATAGCTTTTTTTAAAAAAAATTTTCTAATGACCAATTTTATAATTTTGCATGTAATTTAAATGGTAGGTGAATATATTTTGGGATTTCACAAAACAAATGATATAATAATTTTCAATTCTTTCTTTAAAGTAAAGAAAATTTCGTTGAAATACATACATACACATATATATATATATACATATATGCTTGTTAATGTACTTATATGTTAATATCATGAGGGATGTGTTTAAACATAGTCTAATATCAAATTATAAACCATTTAGAAAAAAAAAAAAAACTTGTACACATAATACTGAAAATCTTAAGAGAGGTTCATGAGACTCATGCTTTTTTTTTTTTTTTTCCCAATAAATTCTCTAAGAATTGCTATTAAAATCGTACACCCATTTGTGCGTGATGTTAAATTTAAATATTATGCACGAAAAAATAAATAAATAAATTCGTAAAAATAAAATAAAAGTAATTTAATCCCAACCATGGGATTCCAAATAGCAAGAATTCCGTGAAGTTATTAAATGCGCCACAAAGCAATATATATGGTTAATGCCGACATATACATAAATGCATACATATATATATATATATATATATATAGACATACATACATATATATGTACATAAAAGAAATTAGCATCAAGGGTATTACATATTTTTGTTAGAATACAATTCAAAATGCAATTTACAATAAAACAAGATTGCTTGTCTATAAGAATTAAGAAAAGAGTGTAAAACTCTACAAAGTAAACACAGTTTAATATATATGTATATATATATATATGTACATACATAGGCATACGCACGATTATATAATAATGTATAGGTGGGGTTGTGGATAAAACGTGTGCAGCTGGGTGGGGATATGAATGAAATGAATAATATATTGGCGGTCAAACTAAACTAACGTTTGAGTTTGAGCTGGGATTAGATTCAGCAACTGTATGAGCTGGATGGATCGTTGGGGATGCCTCACTATCTACATCTCTATCTATCTATCTATATATATATATATATATATATATAGATATAGATATAGATATAGATATACACGCACACACACATTTATCAACTACTAAATATATATAAAATATACATACTACAATCTTATATATGTTTGTGTTTATTTCGTTGTCAGCTATTATAAAACCAATGCAATTGCAGGAATCGAACTATGCATGATGTCTATATAAACTATATATATATATATACATACATACACACACACACACAATTTGCTTGCAGATAACAGAAAATTTGACTGTAAAATAAGCCCTACTCCAGTGTCAAACATATCAGAGGTTTAAGTTTCTAAACTTAGAAGAAGATGCTTTATACAATCAGTCAATTCATCAGCACTTACCTAAGACCTTACAATATGTAGGGTTCACTCGAACAAAAGGGCATCAGGCAACAATGTAAAATAACAAGCCTTTTTTTTTTTTAAGGACTCGGTACAAATTTTAGCGAACAAGTTACCTCCCAGATATCGGTTGTATGTCAAGAAAAAATCGTGATAAATTCCAGCTAACCTCGCTTTACGGGCCTCTGAACATAAGATTTGTTGGGATCTTCTGTCTTCAGTTTTGGAGGCCGCATTTCTCCTTTTTTAGCCTGCAAACATGTTTTAGAATATTAGGCCATCTGTTTCCTTCCATGAATGCACACAAACTGGAGGGAAATAAAGAACAGCTGCGTCAGTTTGTCTCACCTTCTTTCCTGATTTCATGAAATCTCTCCAGCTAGAAACCTGGAAAAGGAAAGAAAACAAAAAAACCACTATTAATCCCGAGGGTTTAAAAATAGTGTGCTCCATGGAAGATGAGATTCAGATAGTATGCAAAAAAGTTGACCGACATGGGTACCAATGATTGAAACACAATTTGACTCGACACTCTCCCTTGAGCTTGTTATGGACTCTCTGGATAAACTAGATGACTTTGTAACTCCCTTCTCAATTCCTCAAAGAAATAACTAAGTTATACCTATCAAAACCAGCCTTAATCACTTTGTTGCCTGCCATATTAATTACAGTGGTAAAACAAGATATGCAGCCTAAAATGGCTGATCAATTGACTGTCTTTCAAATGTCTTTCACATTTACACAAAATGTTATTTGCAATTTTCATTGTCGTCCAAACTACCAAATTGTAAGAAAAATCTCATTGTTACCACCAGAATTAACATCACAGCTAACACCACATGCATTATCATTATATCACTCAACCCTGCCACTGCCATCGCCATCATCAGCACTTATATTATCTCATGTCACTACCACTAATTACAATGATGATAACATATTATACATATATATATATATATAAATTGGTCAAAGAATCAAAACATTCAATCTTAACGTCATAAATTCCAAAATTTTCTTCATTTTCATATTGTACCAGATACCAGTAAAATGATACATATAGCACCGGAAGGCGAATGAGACTAACCCTTTGCTCTCTTGTTCCTTCCCACTGCTCCTCGTGCTCACGCTTTCTTTTCCACATCTCTTTTTGCTCCTCTTCATCCCTCTTTAATCTGCCCTCTTCTTCAGATATCTACACAACAATGGAAAAACAACAATAATAATAGGAAATAGATAAGAATGATTATGATATTAGGCTAAAAATTGTGGATAAGATGAATCCAGCCTCCTCTTAGCTCACCCTCATCTGCATTTTTCTCCGTCGCCATTCTTGCTCGGTCAATAATTCTTGGACCTTTTTTTTCACTTCCTGCTGAAACTCCTCCGACTGCTCATATTGTTGTTCATATTTTCCCTGATTCACAACAAAGAGGGCATTCAAATCAATAAAGAGAAACATTAGGTTCCTCATATTATGTGCTGGAGTTAAAAATAGCAACAGCAAACATTTATGGTCCATTTGGTTCAATTTTCGATCCATTTTTGATTAATTCTTGCTCTCCATTTCCATATTAGTCTTGATATAAACTAATATTTATGTGTATGTCTTGATATAAACTAATATTTATGTGTGTGTATATATATATAATAGATTACACAGAAGTCCTTAAAATTTGGGTATAATTACATTATGTCTATGATTTTCTAAAAATAACAATTTAGTTCTAGCATTAAATATTTATATATATGTTTAAGATTCATCTTTTAACGAATCAAATAATAGTTTGATGTGTCACAAGGCTGTCGAATAACAAAAAAACTTAAATAAGCAATTCCACTTGAGAAGATACAAAAAGTAACGACTTTAGCTAATATGGTAAAGAAAAAGCAAAAGTAAGATCGTCAGAAGGAGAGTGATCCTAGAAACCTACAGTGGTTTTTCTTTCAAGATTTTTGCAATGGTAAAATAACAAAAAGACTAGGTTGTTCTTTTCTAACAACTATAAACTCAGTTGCAACTATATCAAAACTTTAAGAACTTTCAAATTTTTGCAATGGTAAAATAACAAAAGAATGAATAACGTTGTAATCTATATTATGTTTCCCACATAAAGAAAAGGACATTACACTCCACCATGAGGTGGGAGTAGCCCCAGCCTACGGTCCTGG